AGTTGGGTCCTCAGAAGGCTTTTAGGACCAAATAATAGGCTCTTGTGTCCAGGAGAAAATGAATATACTTACCAGTAATGTTAATGCTCACCCATGGCTCTTCTGGGAGGATCTAAATCGTTGAAGCTTATCTTGAGTTCTTGTTGAGCGCCTTGAGTCAGAACCAGCCCTCCTGTGGGTTTTCAGAGACAATTAATCACATGGGAAGAGACTGTCCATCTTTCTCTTAGAGAGCAGCTGATTGACTTGAACTGCATACCTTTAGGTTATCAGCACACCTCCTTACCACTAGGCCACCAGACTGCCCTTCTATCTTGAGTGAGAAACTAAATTGTGCCTTTAATCTGTGCAGTCAAATAAAACCCTGTCTCTTTTACCTCCTTTTGTCCCAGAAGGAAAGGATAAGAGGTGAAGCCATTAACATCTGATGCTTGCCCAAGGAACAGGGTTTTCTGATTATTGCAAACTTCTTGGCAGAGTAGAAAATTAACTAAGCACCTTCATAGATGTCAGACCATAGTATTTTCATTTATTGGTGTCTGTGATATGACTGTCTAATTATTAGAAATCCTCTGGATTGTACTAACCCCATGTTTTGCAGGTGCTGTAGTCCCCTACAACAACTTCTTTGGACCTGTTATTTCTGTGCTGTATGGACATTTGTAAATAAATCTCTTTTAATACTTGGAGAAATGAGCTATATCTGGTAGCTTTGACTGGCTTTTTCAGACCTTTTGCATAACTGTTTCCAAAAAGTACTTTCCCTATAAAAACAAAACACAAAACTAACACAGAACTGTTCTGTGATAGTCCAAATAGTCATGGAATAGGTACTTAGAGGACTTTTTATTACTGATGTTTTAAGAATATTTTTCTGGTAATCTTTACACATACTACTACATTCCAAAGACCAAATCACTGAATAATTAATGGTAGTGGATAGTCTATTTCTGACTTTTTTAAATAAAATTTTTTAGTTTGTTGTGATTTATATTCAGATTTATTCTAGTTAAAGTAAATCTTTGATATGTTAAAATTTGTTATAGTTAAAATTTGTGTCTGTCATTTGGTAACAGTTCAGTCATTTGTCTGTATATTTGTTTTTTGAAAGTATTTTGCAGGTGTTCTAAATTCTGGCCCTCTTTGCAAGTACTGTATCATTCTTTAGAGCATATTTTTGCTGAGTGTTTTAGAAGTGATAAAAAGTAATGCTGTTGCTCACATGATTGGATTAGGAACCATTGCTGTTTGGTGCCATCCAATCCACTATGACTCACAGTGACTCTAAGAACAACAGATCTGAAGCTTGCTCTATTCTTTGCCATCCTCATCATCTCTGATATGTTTGAACCCATTGTTACAGTCACGGTGCTGCCCCATCTTGCTGAGGGCCTTTCTCTCTTTTGCCAGCCTTTCACCTTTCCTTGCATAATGCCTTTTTTTTTAAAAAAAAAAAGAACAACATGCAAAAAATATGTGAGATGGAGTTTCACCACCTTCACCACTAAAGAACACCCTGGTTGCAACTAGAGAGTTCCTAATTGTTTCTCTCAAGTTGTTTTACCAACCTTTGAAAGTCTAGCCTTATTCGTCTTTGAGTCCTAGAATATTTATTTGTTTCCTCTGCTTCCCTACCATAAATTTCTAAGAGATCATGTAAAAGTCATAACATTTCATATAAAAATGGCAAGAGTTGGGGAGCTCTGGTGGCCTAGTGGCAAGGAGCTGCAACTACAATCCCAGAGGCGCACGGTTCGAATCCACCAGATGCTCTGCCGGGGAAGGAGGGACAATCTCCTCCTGTACCTGTCAGATCTGATTTGACAGTACACTCACACAAAAATAATAAAATAAAAAAATTTTTTTTTAAACTGGCAAGAGTTAACAATATAAAAGTTCAATTCTCTTTACTTTTTAAAGATTTAAGTATTCTACTACCAGTCTACATTTTAAATTTAATATAATACCTCATGGGACTCAAGTTTGCTCCATTGAAAAAGCTTCCTTCCCTGAATCGTACTTGTTGGTGTAGACTGAGTTAATCATAAAACAGGAGATTTTGAAGATATTTTGGAACAAAGAAGGATAATCCATGTAAGAATGAGAACTAGATGAGGTTTTATTTTAGAGGATTAGGAAGAAAAAGAATTGGAGGTGTGACAACATACGAAACAAACAATATTTCTAAGGATGGAATTTTACCAAAGTAACATTCATTGTATATGATTCTGATTTTAAGTCTTAAATTAGAGGATTCTGACTTATTTCTCTCAAAGTTCATTCTGTATATAATAGCTTTGACTATTAATAGCATAGAGATTCCGTTTATCATCTCTTAGGTTGTAACTCTGGTGGAAACTCTGGTGGCCTAGCGGTAAGAAGCTGTGCTTCAATCCCAAAGACATGCACTTTGAATCCACTAGCTGCTCCACAAGAGAAGGCTGGGCAGTCTCCTTTCATGTGATTAACTATCTCTGAAAACTAACTGGAGGGTCAGCTATTAGTGGATTCTGACTTGACAACAAACAAGAATAACAGGCTGTAACTACCGTGACTTACTTTTAATGTGAAAGATTACATTTTCTTGTTTGTTTTCCCTTTATAGATCCATTTTCCCTATCCACCCGTCCTTCAGAATCATCGCCTTGGCAGAGCCCCCTGTCATTGGAAGCAGTACTCAGCAGTGGCTGGGACCAGAATTCTTAACCATGTTCATTTTCCATCACATGAAACCACTTGTCAAAAGTGAAGAAATCCATGTGATTAAGGAAATGGTAAGAGGGAGGCTCCAGCCTGCTGTTTGCCTCTGACTTTGATTTTCTTTTTAAGTAATTCTTTATTTATTGTAGATTCCTTATAATTTTTAACATAAGTGCACTTTTTAAAAACACTGATTTATTTACAAAGTTCGAATACATTTTTTTCACAAACGATCCTTCCCATTTCTTTTATTCTCCCCATTGAATGCGCACCCCTATGATTAAAACCTCAGTCTGCCACCTCAGTCTGTCACCCCTCTGCTTCCACCTTCCTTCTCGTGGATCCTCATACTCATTCTACAATAATGGTTTTATACAGTATTTGTCCTTATGGGACTGAGTTAGTTCACCCAGCATAATGCTCTCCAGTTCAAAGTTAGGTAGTAATTTAGAAAATCATTGCTCCTATGTGTTATGTAATATTCCATTGTATGAATGTACCGCAGTTTCTCAATTCATTTGAAGTACCTGAATGAATTGCTTCATTTTAGATCTTATTATGGCCTTAGTTATGCATAAGAACCTATGCTGTTTTTGTTGTTAGGTGTTATAAAATTGGGTACAGCTCATAGCAACCCTGTGAACAATGAACAACAGGCTTGAACCCTGTCCTATCCTGTGTCATCCTCATTCTTTCTGATACAATTGAGCCCATTGATGTATAGGCTTTGGTATAAAGCTTTATATGTTAAATCTACTAGCTTGTAAAACTTGAATAAGTTATTTAACCTTAGAGTTTTCATCCTGAAAATGGAGAGGATAATATGTATTATACAAAAAAAAATGACTTAAATAATATATAAGATTATATATATATACTGTTGTTGTTGTTGTTAAGTGCCATCGATTTGCAGGTGACTCATAGCGACCCTAGAGTCCTCAACACTTAAATATATAGATACTTAAAATTTTTTTAAGAGCTCCATTCACTAGGCTTCTGTAGTAATCAAATCCTACCAGTCATTGTTGTGGTATCTCTTTAGGATTTTTAAATTAAAAATTTTAACTTGTTCTAGTTTATATTAAAATATCTTCTAATTTAATAAAATGGCATATTAATCACATTAAGTTTTTTATAGTTAAAAACCAATCAGTTCATGTTATTTGGACAATGATTCTTCAAAAGTTCATTGATGTGTTAGTTATGCCACTTGGATCCGTTTAAAAAGTCTATGGAGGTGGGGAAAAGTCTATGGAAAAAAACAGCTTGAGTGTCTATTCTTTCTACAAGGGTGCCTGTGTCACTCGATGGGCATGTCTGTAAGATTTACGTGATTCTGTTCTGACTGAGTAGCAATGAGAGTTAGGGTATAAATGAGTTTGGAATTAATAAAGAAAAGATAAAACTCAAACTCTCATTGCTACCAAGTCAGAACCGAGTCATATCTGACACTCAAGCATGTTTTCAAAGGTTGTAAATTGAATGGAAGGAGATTCTTTTTCTCCTGCAGAGCAGCTGATGGCTGATGGCTTTGAAATGCTGGAGAGGCACCTGCCAGCTGTGTTAGCGGGGCAGCTCCTTATGGCCAGTGCTGCCCAAGCTCCCTTTAATGAAACCAGAGTTTTAAAAATTTATATGGAACTGTTTTTATGGGTATGTTACATGCTAGTTTTTATTGAGTTAAAGGCACCCTCACATTTTCTCTTGATGATGGAATTATACAAAGAGAACAGGTTGATTTAAATGTCTTAATTCGTAATAAGAAAGGAGAACATATATGTGTAGGAACCTATGTTTGTATGTATGGAAAGATATACATGTGTGTACGTGTGTGGATACATTCCATTATGATTTAGTCCTTACTCAGAATGATGCTGTGAGATGGGAAAACTAGAGTATTGGAAATGAAATAAAGAGGATATTGATACTTTGTGAACAATATAACCAAAGTCATTGAACAGTTGCTAGAGAAATAATTAAATGAGAAACTAAATTACGGTGTAAATTTTCACAAAACACACACAATGTTAGGGGGAGAGGTGAGAGAGCATGCATATGAAAAGAATAGCTAAGTGTTTCTTGAAAATTTAATAAGAGGCTTTATCCATTATTTAAATGTATAGCCTATACTCTGGCATTTTCTAAAAAGTTTAATTGTAGTATTTTTTTGCTTAGTAGCCATAATTTCTGACTGATGGGTTGGACTTTCTGGTTTATTAATTCTGCTTTTTTCTTAATTTCCTTATAAAACAGGTCCCGAATATACCTCAGGAAGCTTTGAATAAATTGCTGTCATTTACACACAAACTCAGAGAGACACAGGACCCAACGGTAAGTCTGGGTTGGTTTTTTTTTTTCACCCCATTGTTGACATATTCTTACTTTAACATCTGTTTTATAAGCTGGTTCTTTTATCCCTTATCCTGTCTTTTGTCTGTGTGTGTGTGTGTAACTTGTTTGATCACTTTACCATTTTCTCCAACTCCTCATGGTTGATGGCAGAGAAAGCACCTTTTAAATTCTAGAGGATATTTGGTATTCTGCTCTTTCTTCTGTCCTCTGTAATGAGCACACTCATATATGTCACACACTAAATGCTACCTCTAAGTTACTACCTATATTTTTTATCATCAGCACATAACTTGTCTTTTTCTTTCTAGGGTAATAGAAAAATCAAAGGTTATCACTGCTTAACTCGAGCAGGGGTTGGGAGGGGTGTTGGTTGTTTATTGGTTTTGGGTTTTCCCTATCTGTTAGTAGGGAATAAATAATGCAAAAAGTCTCATAAAAATGGTTTTTAAAAGTGGTTCCATTCTACAACAATGGCACTATGCAGTATTTGTCCTTTTGTGACTGAGATATTTCACTCAGCATAATGTCTTCCAGGGTCACCCATTTTGAATAATCTTGCAAATATTGCATGAATTTCTTGTTTTTCAATGCAGCATAGTATTCCATTGTGTGAATATACCACAGCTTCTCTGTCCATTCTTTGTTGATGGGCATTTAGGTTGTTTCCCAATCTTTGCCATTGTGAACAAAGCCACAATAAACATGGGTATGCATATATCTTCTTGGGTGGCAGTTATGGTTTCTTTGGGGTTTATTCCCAGTAGTGGAATTGCTGGGGTCAAATGGTATTTCTATTTGCAACTTTTTGAGAAAGCACCATACAGCCTTCCATAGTGGTTGCACCATTTTACACTCCCACCAACAGTGAATAAGGGTTCCAGTTTCTCTGCAACCTCACCAGCAACAGTCAATGAATAGAAATCCAAAGACTCTGTAAACGTTCATTAAAATTAATAATTAAAAAAATAAAAGTGGTTCCAATTTTAAATATATGCTGATTGAAATGAGTCAATAACAAAAAGACAAATGTTACATAATTTCACTTATATGAAATAATTTGTGCATCATGTGAATTGAATAGATGTAGTGAAAAGCTACCATATACCTTTTCTGATTTTAAATCATGCAGAATCCCCTTTGTTTTGTTTGAATGACTCCTTCTTGGTCTATGTACAGGTATTGCATGTGCAGATAAGTCTTCTGGAATTCTCATTCTTCCAGATATTATCTATGATTTATTATAATCCAAACAATGCCTTTGCATAATTAACACGTTGCCACACACTTTTAAATTGACAGCTGTGCTTAGAAACACATTTTTTTCACTATAGCCATCATTTGTGGCAACGTGTTAATAACAAGACGGTGTGATGGATTGACACAGTGACAGAAACAATGGTCTTAAACACAGTGGAGATGGAGAAGTGGTACAGGATCTGCCAGACTTTACTGTGTAGTACATGAGGTCACCATGAATTAGTCACCTTGGTGCTACCATTGTTTTGGGAAATAATGAGTTTCTGTTTATGGTGATGGCAAATTTAACAGTAATTATGATAGATGGCTACACAGTATAGTTAATGTGATTGTTAGTATTAAATTGTATACCTTAAAAATGAATTTGCAAATGTTGCTTTATAGATATTTATATAACAAAAGTTAAGTGTTTCTGGGAGGTGGGAGGAGATAGAAAGACTTTCTTAGAACTCAAAACTAAACCTACTGTGATGAAGTCAGTCTGAACTCATAGTGACTTTTTGCATAGAGGAGCATTTGCTCAAGAGTTTCCAAGGCTGTAGATCTTTATGGACACAAACTGTGTCACCTTTCTAAAGAAGAACAGGTTGTGGCTTTGAAATGTTAACGGCCAAATTCTTTAGCCCTTGTTCTTCTAGAGTTCTTTTTGTTCTCCTCTTAGAAACCATTTAGTAAATGTTAGTTTCTTTTACTTCTCAAGTTCAAATTATCACCATAAATATCTTACACAACTAAGCAATATTTTTACTTTAAATCTATTGCTATTCCTCATTCAGTGTACTGACTTTGTTAATACTATGTCTACCTAATTGTGCTGCCAACCCAAAGGTACGTGGTTCAAATCCACCAGTTGCTCTGTGGCCAGAAGTTAAGCAGTCTCCTTCCATGTGACTTATTGCACCTAAAAACCCTCTGAAGGGTCAGCTATGAGTTGGTTCCAACTCAATGGTCCACAGTAACATCAACAAATTTCCTAAAAGGAGCTCTGGTGGCTCTGTTGTAATGTGCCATTGATTCGCCGGTGACTCATAGCGACCCTATGTACATCAGCCCTAAACCCTGCTCTATCCTGTGCCAATCTTATTGTCTCTAACACACTCACCCCCTTTACCCCAGTCACTAAATCAATCCATCTCATCGAGGTTCTTCTACTCCTGTGCTGTCCCTCCACACTCCCAAGCATGACATCCCTCTCTAAAGACTGATCCCACCTTGCAACATGCCCAAAGTATGTCAGATGAAGCTTCAGAATCCTTGTCTCCAAGGAGCAAGCTGGCTTCACCCTCTCCAGGATGAACTTGTTCTTCTTGCAGTCCATGGCCTATTTAATACTCTTCTCCAGCACCACAGCGCAAAGGCATGAATTATGTTTCTATCACCCCTAGTCATTATCCAGCTTTTTTATGCATAGCAAGTAATTGCAAAGACCATGGCCTGTATCAGGCACACCTTAGATTCCAGTCTGACATTGTTGCTCTTCAGTACTTTGGCGAGGTTTCTGACAGCAGACTTTTCCAATGCAATTCACCTTTTAATTTCCTGGTTTCTAGTACCAAGCATATTGATTGTGGAACCAAGGAAACTAAAGCTTTTAACAATCTCAATCTCTGACCATCTGTCATGATGCTGCCAATTGGCCCAGTGGTGAGAATCTTTGTTTTCTTGATGTTGAGCTTCAATCCATATTGAAGGCTGTAGTCCTTGACCCTCTGTAGCAAGTTCCTCAAGTCCTCCTCAGTTTCTGCAAGCAGGGTTGTTCATTTGCATAACACAGATTGTTGATGAATCTTCCTCCAATCCTGATGCCACCCACGTTTATCCTCATAGAACTCAACCCCTCGGTTAATCTGTTCTGCATATAGATTGAAAAGTTATGCAAGATCCTTGTTGCATGCCCTTCCCAATTTTGAACCATGCAGTGCTTCCTTGCAGGTGACTTGGTGATAAGATATTGCACTGCCAACACAAAGATACATGGTTTGAATCCCCCAGCTGCTCTGCAGGAGAAAGAGAGGAAATCTCCCATCCACTTTACTGCCTCTTAAAAATCTGCTGGAGGTGGAAATCCAAAGCCTCTGTAAATTTTCATTGAAATGAATAAAAACAAAATATTCTGGAGGGTGAGCTATGTATTGGTTCTGGCTTGATGGTACAGAACAACAGTTTCCTAAAATAGTAACATTGCTTTCTCACTAGTTTGCTTTCTCAGTATCTCCATTCACTCTTAAAGCCAATTTCATCAATTGTCTCATAGATTCTCTTACCTATCTCAGTTTTTGTCTTACTATTGGTTTTTTTTTTTTCCACCCCTGAGATACTGTGATTTCCTCTTGGCTACCCTCTCTGCTCATTATTCATATACCCGTGACCCTGTGACTACTACAGCTAATAACCACAGATGATAAACATTTATTGTCTCAAAGTTCTGGAAACCAAAAGTCCAAAATCAGTGTTGGAGAATCTAATAGAAACTCTGTTCCTTTACTTTGTTTCCTCATGGTTCCTGGCATTCCTTGGTTCATGGCTTCACTATTCTAGTCTCTGCAACTGTCTTGACATCACCTTTTTCTCCGTTTCAGTGTCAAGTTTCCCTGTGCCTCTCCCCTTTATTATATGGAATCTTAAGATCTGTGTGGCTCAGGCTAATATCGTCACACCTAGATCTTTAGTTTACTCATATCTCTAAAGTCCAGGAATTAGGGTGAGAACATCATGAGGGGAGCATTTCTCAACTACTGTGGTCACTTGGAGAAGTTCTGGTGGCCTATTACGGTAAAGAGTTGCACTGCCAACCCAGATGCAGGTAGTTCAAATCCACCACCAGCTCCTTCATAAGAGCAAGTTGGACAATCTCTTCTTTTGTGATTTACTGCCTCTTAAAACTCTTCAGTGACTGCTGTGTTTATTCCAACTCAGCAGTATATAACAATAATTGGTCACTTATTAATGATCTCTATGATGTCTTCTCCACTACTTAAACCCAAAGCCATTCTTCTCCAGCTACACTGTTCTTCCAGTGTTCCTTAACCATGCCGGTACGGGCTTCACATTCCTCCTTATTTGGTATTTTTCCATCTAGGCTGCTCTTTGCCACATAGCCACATGTTACTCTATCAACTCATTTAGGTTTCTACTCAGGTGTTCCCTTTTCAGAGCAGCATTCCTGATGCAGTCAATATTAAGAATTGTACTCTATTAAGAATTTCCTACCCATTTTATTCCTGATGCTCTTTAGTGAAATAAGCTAGTAGATCCCATTTGTGTTTATACAATACACATTTAGTTTGTCTTTTATTATCTGTCCTCCTTATTTAGATGTTTGTTAGCTGTCTCATGTCAGGGAGTTTGGGTTTGTTTTGTTGGGTGATGTGACTCCCCTTCCTCCAGCACTTGAAACTTTGCCTATTACATCATAGGTGTTCAACAAACATCTGTTAAAGAACTGAGTGAATGAGCCTTCCATATTATCCGTGGGGAGTCCTTCTTTAATCCCCTAAGCTTTTCTTCAGTTTAAACCTGTTAAGAACTTGGTTCTTTTTGCTTATAAACTCAAAGATGACCTATGCATCCCTGGCAAATTCCATCTAAGTCTAAGCTGCATTTCCTACAGCCCCTCTTGTTGCTCCCTCAGCTCTACTATACATAGTTCCTTGCTGGTTTTTCATCCCAGCGTACATACCCGGCGGTCTTGCTTTAGAGAATGCCTGGAGTGCCCATTCTTT